TTTCATTCGGCGACCAACAAAAATTGCCTTGTTTTCTAATTTTATTTACACTCAGCGACTGAACATCTCGTGAAAAGCAAGAAAAAGTGACGCCGTTGTTGGTTTACTGATCAGTCGCTGAAAAAACAAGCGACACTGGCGACTGCAAATATCATGAACAAAAATTGCAGTGATATGAAAAGAGAGAAAAACCAGCGACTAGGAAAGAGAAACAAAGCAACAACTTCAATGTAATTTTGTGTCGCTGGAAAGTGTCTAGCGACGTCCAAAAGAACACGCCCTATAACTTCCGAGTTGGTGTAAAAACTTTAAATTAAATTCTAATAAACCATTGAAAGCCTTAGGATTCCATTATGCTTATTTAGTAATTACTTATAATTCTATATATTATATTTTCAAATAATAAAAGAAAAAAAAATTAAAATTATTTTACCTAATTTACATTATTTTTAAACAAATATGCAAAATCCTTGAACAGTAACAAAAAAAAATATAATGAAATAAAGAAATAGGTGACTCTAACTTATTGAAAAACAAAACGAAGAGCTTCATGCTGTCTAACGTACTTGAATCATTTAATAAAACCATGTTTAAATATCAGAACTTCTTGGTTTTGCTCCTCTTGACCTCTTGAGAAATTAATATGACCATTTCCAAGACTTCTCTTCTCACATTCAGGAAAAAACTGATACATCTTTCTCTTCTTATTCGGGAGAGAAATGATACATTGATGATTTTCTGTGGCGTGGCATCCAATTTCGGCTACAACTCTTTTCACCTCTTTAGCAATTTCTTTGATAAAATCGGCTTCTGAACTGCAAAAAATTGTAAGTTGATTGAAAGCATGCTATTTTGTGAATGTACTTTTCGTTCATAAAACGAAACATAAAACCAAAACAAAAACGTGTTGTTGTATCCATAATTCTTAAGATCCACACATCTTTAACATTATCTTTATCACACCAAAAAAAAAAAAAGATTCCAAGTCCCTTGGCATGTATACTTTTCTCTCAAACATGATTTGTTCTTTTTCTTGAAAAAAGTAGTATTTAAATGTGACAAAAAAGAGAAATTGTTAATAATACCCCTTTTGAGATACCCCTATTCAAAAATACCCCTTTTGAGAGTCCATTTTTAAGTTTGCCCTCTTTTAATTTTTAATGACCATTTTACCCTTATTTGAAGCAAAATTAGGTCCACAAAATACAAAATATTTTTTTGCTGGAAAAGTGATCCCGCAAATTTTTGGCGGGAAACGTGATCCCGCAATTTTCCCGCCAAAATTTTTTTTTTGCGGGAAAAGTGATTCCGCAATTTTTTTGGCGGGAAAAATTTACAAGGTAGTTTAAAGGTTTTACAGAGTATTTACAAGTGTTTTGTAAGGTTTTTACAATGTATTTTAAAAGGTTTTACAAGGTACTTATTAGGTTTTATAAGGTATTTATAACTTGTAAAACCTTATAAAAAACTTGTAAAACCTTATAACTTGTAAAACCTTATAAAATAGCTTGTAAAATCTTATAATATCTTATAAATACCTTATAAATACGTTGTAAAACATTTTAAAATACATTGTAAAACCTTATAAATACCCTTTAAAACCTTTAAAATACCTTGTAAAATGTTCCCGCCAAAAAATTTTCCGCCAAAAATTATTGCGGAATCACTTTTCCCGCAAAAAACTGAAAAAAATTTTGCGGGAACATTTTACAAGGTATTTTAAAGGTTTTACAAGTTTTTACAAAATCAAATTTTTAGTTTTGATGTGTGCACATTCTCGTGTTTTCCTTATATATTTGTGATGTCTTTTACTAAAAGAAGGGTAATTTAGTCATTTTGTACATAAAAAATGGTATTTTTAAAAATAGACAGCTAAAAAGGGCATTTTTGAAAAGGGGTATTGAAAAAGGGGTATTTTTGTGAGTCTCCCAAAAAAAATTAAAGAGATAAGATGAGATAGTGATGTGTGTGATTGATAAATAAAAAACATTTGTTTAAAAACATGTGCATATTCTATATGAATTTAAGAAAGCATATGCGATAAATGAACCAACTTATACATTCATTTGTTTTAGTAAATACTAATGACAAAATAATTTTCTCAAAAAAAATAATGACAAAATAAACACGATCAGGACTTGTAGGCGTCGATATGTTATCACCTGACTAAATCTGCATGTTATTTCTCAAAAGAAAAAACATAAAAGCAGAAGCACTCTTAGTACCTTTTGTCTCCCAAGGACAGACCCATCTTGTTGGAAATACACTCAAGGGCTTCCTTCCACTCCATGATCTGATCTCCTCGAGAAGTCTTCGCAAGCGCCCAAAACTTGTCACCAAACTCACCGGTCTGTCCTCTCACATCTCTTGCCCTAACCTTGTAGAAGATGGGAATGACTTGGAGCTTTCCTTTATCCACACGTTTCTTCATCTTCACCAGCTCATCCATGCATGCACCAACTCGACTCCGCATACCTGCAGGATTATGACCATACTGTCAATACAAACACTATAAAAGATCAAACATGATTTGACTAGAGAACAATTAAAACATGCATATATATACAAAGACCTTTTTGATGTAGATTGAATGAAGAAGACATATAATAATAGGTTATCTTGACTCATAAGTCTTTATTTATTAACAGTACCTACTAGAGAAGATAACTAGCGCGATCTTCGACTCTTTAATCCTTACAAAAAGGTTTGTCATGTTTTTTCCCCTTAGCTCGTCTTTGTCTACGAAAAACAAGATTCCATGTCTCTCAAAGGCGTCAAGAAGGTGGCTGACAAAGCTGTAGCGCAACTGATCTCCTCGGAAACTGAGGAATACTCGATGTACGTCTTCGGTGAGAGATGAAATCGTCATGGGGGACGACTCTAATTTTAGTTTTTTTTTATAGTTTGAGAGAAATGTGCTTAAATATCTAACTCTAATCCAGTGAGATACACGTTTTGTAGTATTGATTATAGAGGAGTCCACGTATACTGAAGTCAAGACGTCTCCTTCACCGTTAATTAGCATCGCCAAACATTTAGCTTGGAACCCAAGATACGCTCCGCGTCTAGGTAGTGTCACTCATGCAGCCATATTAATAAATATGAAAGTTACACTTATATTTCCAATAACAAATCTGCCCGCGGAAAACAAAAAAAAAATATTAATAAATATTTTCTCCGTTCTTTTATAAATGATGTTTTAAGCTTATGTTTTTGTTTTTAAATAGATGATGTTTTCAGTTTTTAATATAATATTAATTAATTTTTTATTAGTTTTTAATGCAATATTATGCAGATTATTTTCTATTGGTTGATTAGATAATAAATGATGTTTTGTTTAGAAATAAACAAAAATTAAATGATTTTTTAATCTGTGTATATTCTCTTAAAACATCATTTATAAAAGAACGGAGAAATATGAAAGTTACACTCAAATATGAAAGGAAATACATGTGGTTGATAACTAAATCTAATCCTATCCATATAGAACAGCTTGCGACAAAAGAAATGAAAAAAAGGAACATATCCCGTGTTGAATTCGTGTAGTCAGATCATCTTCATCTAGAATTCGATGTAGTACTGAAGTCAAGGTCGTCCCCTTCACAATCACGCCTTTAGCATCGTCAAATATTTAATGTTTATAACTAGTGTCAACCATGCAGACCATTTAGAGATAAATCACACCGAAAAGTATAAGTTCTTGTATTTTCTAGATATTACACATGACAACATCATAAGCTTTTATTTAGAACCCTACAACAAAATATTATACTATACTAAAATATTATTATTATTTTTCTTTCTATGATAATTGATGCTAAAATATTATTAGGTTTTCAATTTAGTGTTCTTTCATTAGAGAATACTTGTTATATTTATTTATAAATCAATTATCAAATCCCCTATATATTAATAGAGAAACATTTTTTTAAAAAAACCTTACCATCATGTGTTATTAACAAGATTGCCACGCTGATGTGTCGCTCTCACAATGATTTGGCTTTTATTTAGATAATTACCCAAGATTTATTAGACTATTTACATAATTTGCCATTAGTCTCATACATCCATATATCCCATTAATAATTAAAAACATACACTTTTTGTTTATCTTATATTACTATATTTTTATATTTATATTTTCTTTATATACATTTATATAAATTTTTTTTAGCGGATGGGTATACAATCTTTTTATTTATATTTATATTTATATTTATATTTATATTTAAATGATAAAATATATACATTTGGTTCAAGAATCTCGAATTCAAAACTACAAATCTTTATATCTTTCATAATTTTTTTACTTAAATAAATAAGATAATCTCTTTTCTATATATGTTACGAATACTTAAAATCCTATTTTTTGGAGGAGTTCTAACTTTTCGAAGAAAAACATTATAACCACATTTGTATATAAACCAAAATCTGGCCACATTATAACCATTTCGTAAATAATCCATTCATAATCTAAGAATCTTAGATTTAGAACACTACAAAATCTTAGCTTGGAAACTATCAAATCTCATCTTTGCTAAATTTTGGATTTCTTATACTTATTAAAAAAAAAAAAATCTTTTTATACTACGAAAACTTTAAAACATACGGAAAGACATATTGCCATAAATGGTAACATTTCATCAATACTTTTTTATCACGTTGAAGCTTTATTCAAGGTTCAAATATTTCACGGGTAAAACATATTCTTATATGAAATAGTCCCAAATTTGAATAAAAAAAAAAAAAAAATTGTAATATGTTTCGTTTTACACAAACGGATCTTGGATCCCGGATAATAATTTTAATCATAATAATTTTACTTGAATCACTTCATCCCGCACATCGTGCGGGTTGTTATCTAGTATACTTATAGAGTACACTAGTTGTTATAAACTTATATAGTCGAAGAATTTACTCTTTGGTCTGCCTAAACTCTCCAGATCGAATTCCTAAATAAGAACCTATATATACCTCATCCCTTCAATATGCCTAAAATCGTTTTCAATTGAGTCTTAGTCTAATTGTGTACACACTTTCCCCATACAAGATTGGCGCAACATTATCATAGTTCCTTAAAAAGTCTAATTGGGTATACATTTAAGTATCATTTTAAATGAGGTTTTAAATATACAGTAGAACCTCTATAAATTAATACTCGATAAATTAATAAACACGATAAATTAATAAATTTGGCTGGTCCCGAGTCGGGCCAATGTAAAAATTAACCAAATTCGATAAGATAATAAGATAATAAATTTTTTGAAATCCCTATGTAGAAATATAGTCCAATAATATCATAAATTAATAATTATGTAAATTTGCATATATATATATATATATATAATAGTTTTAGTATTTTTCATAAAAATAGCCAAAAGTTTTTGTAAGTTTTCAAATTTTGAATATGCATAATTTTTGTTTTAATAGTCGTATAGGTTTTTAAAATACAACAATGGATGTCGTTTGAATTTTAATTTGTGTATATCGTTTGTATATGTGAATTCTATGATCGTTGTTATTCATTGTCAAATAAATTATTTTCTCTTTGAAATATTAAGTGTTTAAGGCTAAAACTATAAAATTTGTAACATCCAAAATATTAATTTTATTTAGATCACATTGCTTTAGCTCGTTATTTTTTTTTTAAAAACATTTTCACAATTGAAACCAAACTTTCTATAAATTAATAAATATTAATTTGCACTATAAATTAATAGTTATTAATTTATAGATAAATTAATATCACTATAAATTAATAAAATATCATGGTCCCAACATTATTAATTTATAGAGGTTTTACTGTATTTTGGTTTTATTTTACGTGATGTTTACAATTTTCTATGTAAAAATTAAATTATATATATGAAAATTGGACAACTTTCTTCATATGAATGTCACACCATCACGTAAAAATTGACATATGTCACTTTACATTATTTAAATTAAAAAAATCGACAAAATTAAGTGAAAAAAATTCAAAAGTCCTCCATTGTTTTAAATTCTCCATCAATACCACTCTTAACTGATTTTTCAAAATAAAATTAAAGAAAAAACACAAAATCATGCTAATGTATCAAAAACTATTTTTATTATACTCTTCTTATTTTACTAACTTTTTTTTTTTTTATCAATGGTCATTACTTGATAGTGGCTGAAAATTTACAGTTTAATTGTTTGTTACCTAACCTCTTTTCAGCTTAGTACGTACTTTTATCTTGCGTCTTCTCTTATTATTATGTTTTATGGTCAAAAGTGAAAAAAAATCGACAAAATTAAGTGAAAAAAATTCAAAAGTCCTCCATTGTTTTAAATTCTCCATCAATACCACTCTTAACTGATTTTTCAAAATAAAATTAAAGAAAAAACACAAAATCATGCTAATGTATCAAACACTATTTTTATTATACTCTTCTTATTTTACTAACTTTTTTTTTTTTATCAATGGTCATAACTCGATAGTGGCTGAAAATTTACAGTTTAATTGTTTGTTACCTAACCTCTTTTCAGCTTAGTACGTACTTTTATCTTGCGTCTTCTCTTATTATTATGTTTTATGGTCAACATACGATCATATTACATTCGTTCTTTTTATTTTGTGTCTAATGGTAAACTGGTAATGACAATAACATGCAAGTTTTTTCAAGTAATGGACATTTGAGATGTTAGACATACCAATGAATTCAATACACGACAATCTTTCCTATGTAAATGCAAGGGAAGATATCTGAAAATGTTGACTTAAATGATTCTTCAATTTTTTGCTTCATTTTTTATTTTTTCATATAAAAACTCTTGAAGCAAATGAATCGTGGCTCTTAGGCTTGTTACAATGAAAGAGACCGTTTTTCTGGTTCGAGAAACAAGATAACGAAAGGGATGTTAAGTTCTGCAATGTCATCTTTTCCATCTCAGAAGATCAATGATGGTTCCGTGCGTATCAAGAAAGAAACAGAGGATCACTTCATTAGGACGAGGAAACGTCCAATTAGGTTTGATGAGGTGGAATATGCAGAAGCTTTTTTGTGTCAGCGATGCAAGAAGATATGTAGTAGCAGCAGTGGGCTCACGCTACATAGTTAGAGGGAAGAAATCACTATTGATGCACTAAACATGCTAAGCACAAGTAATCCAGTAACTGAAGAAGATAATGATGATGAGCTTGGTCACTCAACAGATGATGCTTATAGTGAGAGGGAACAAATAGCTATTGATGCACTAAACATACTAAGCACAAGGAATCCAGCAGCTGACAATGATGATGAGCTTGGTGACTCAACAGATGATGCAGCAGATCTCCATGGTTACAAAGATGATTCTGACTTCAAAAAGATGTAAGAATTTCCATGATGATGTTGTTTCTTCCTAGGGCTTTATAACAGTTTCTTATTCTAGTTTCGCTAATTAAAATCAGAACAAGGTGCAAATACTTGCACATCAATGAAAAAATTCTATTTTTTTCATTAACCTGACGTTTACATAGTTACAAAACTACAAACTAATTTCTAAATGGTGAACACTTTCATTGTAACAAGCCTCCAAAGTATTAATTGATATTTTGAGTCAAAGATGAATATAACAATAAAAATTGTAACTACATAAGATAAATCTAAGTATTGTAACTACATAAACAAGCAACAAAGAACAGTTAATTTTTTTTTATAAATAATTTCAAAACAACGTAACAACCCGTGCGTAGCATGGATATTCACCTAGTGTATTTAATATATTTTAACCAATTAAATTTTACAGTATAATTTGTTATTGGTTGAATTATTTGTAGTTATTGATGTTTTTATATAGAAGAGGTAAATTAAATGAGGATTTTTTAATTTTTTAATATGTGTGCAAAACCTTAAACATCACTTGTATTGAAACAAAGATTTTTTTCAATTTTTGTTTTATTTTTTCTTATTAAAATCACCTAGTATTCAATTAGTGATTTTATATCATCCCAAATTCTATGTTATTAAAACTGAAATTCATGTAAAATCATTCCAAATAATTCAAAACCTCATGTTATTCAACCACGAATTTTAAAAAAAACATATCAAATCCACTGTTATTCAAACTTAACAATTTCTTTTCAAAAACATACTGAAAACTAATTAGAGACACTAAACTTAATATGCTTGTTTAGATATCACCCAATATTTCAATAGCTTTTGCCAATTGGCATATATTGCTACTTCAATCAATATGCAATTGAAGCTCGAGATATATCTATCTTTATGTTCGGATAGTGTTACATGCTAAAAAAAATGACTTTTTAATGTGATGCTCTTTAACATTGTCGTACCAGATTGAGTTTTGTGGGGATTTTAGTGAAATAGTGTCTACTAGATTGGTTTTTGGTTTAAAGCATGTATGGTTAAGTTTGCTGCAAGTAATTCAGGAAGTGGTCTCTTTAAAGAGAAAGAGACTGATGGTTTATAGATTTTGTGACTGCAACTAGTTATATATGTCATCACTCTACATTCTATGCATCTTCTAAACAAAGAAAAGGGTTGTTTTTACGTCTTATATGTTGTTTTTGTCTACAAAAAGTGGTTTATGACCAACGTTGTGTTGGTCCAGTGGTAAATCTCCCAGGTGGAGGTACTGGGTTCGATGCTCGTTGGGAGGAATCTCTTCTCCAAAAGAGATGAATTTAACCTGGTTTATGTGTTGTCTTCTTTCTTTATTTCTTTTTTTATTCAATTTTGGGATTGAACGTTTTTTACTGATGTTTGAGATTGTATGATTGCTAGCCTACGTTTTTTTTATTCGTATTTAGTAGTTCTCTTACTTCTGTTTTTGGTTAAACTCCTCTGCTCCTTTTCTTTGTAAGTCACAGCAAATCCTAGCCCCATTAAACACTTATGTCATCTTATCGTTGTGTTTTTTCTGAGAACTTATCTCATTGAGAGCTTTTTGAAGAGAAACTCAAGTTCGTATCACTGCAAGCAACTCATAGGATACACAAATCACTGATTATGGAGCAAGTTGATGATGAGATGATGTTATTTTAACTTTATTTTGCTGCTTTTTACGATACACACATTACAAAATTTTACTTCAGTATTGAACCTTTGTTTTGGTTTGAATATATGAATAATGACAAGTTCAAACAAGGTCATGTAACCACCGGCAAACTGCTTATTGACCATGGACACGTTTATTAGAGTTTAACGTTTGCGGAAGCGTTTTCTACCGAAGACGTACCTTACGACTTGGACGTAATCTGGAATTGGAAGAAGTCAGGGAAGATATCACAAGTGGATATCAACCTCTTATCACAGATCAAGTGCCTCTCCGAGTCGTCTTCTCTGTTTTCTTAGTGTCTCTGTTTTTGTTCTCTTTTGTTCTCTGTCTTTCTCTTGAATTCTTACGAACTCAAGACGTACCTTTCTTTGTCTACAATGTCTGATATATATACAGCATATGAGACATGTCTGAAAGACACAACAAACAAGAGACGCATCTGTTCGTCTAATAGAAGTAATTCCATAACTGTCGGTTCACGTAAACCGACTCGGTATTATGCTTTAATCATGGGCGTAACCGATTCTAAACCAACATCTCCCACTCGCACATGATAGTGAAAACAAGACTAGAACAACCTTAGTCGTAAGAAAACAATCCTGAAGACCATGACACGGAAATCATACGGCAAATGAACCGTGTGACCTCTTTCGAGCATACCTGCATTTTGGGAGCTAAAATGTATACTTGTGAAAGATATACATTTGCTTCTACCCTAAGATGAAACATTCATATGTTTTTATGTATCTCTGTTCCCCAAACCCATTTGCCTTTTATATTGGTCTTAACATATCTTATCCCTTAAGCATATATTAGACTTTCTCATACATCATGTGTTCACTATATCCTAACTTCAATTAAGTGATATAGTGGCTGGCCAGCTAACACATATGCTAATATACAAACAAATGATTTTTCCTTTCCATTCTCATGTCCATAAGTTCTGAATTAACTGCTTTCTTAACATGTTTCATAAGGCTAATTATTTCATCACCGTTGAAATAACATGTTAAAGTAGCAAACATTAACTCATCCCTTTAAGTACATAGTGGAAAGTTCAAGGGTAACTTTTTAACCACAAATTGGTTTTATAGGAACTCACATTGCGAGTGGTAGGGAAATATTTAATCACTCGCTTCCTATATAGTCCTCTTAGCACATGTGGTATGACTCACATGTCATAGTGATTACGTTTTTCATATAGCTTGTGTCTATTTAATAAATCAAGCATCACTATGTGGATCAAAGTACTACTCTTGTGCTTACTAGCGCTTTAGTTATGTACTTATCCAGCTTTATCAAGTGTTCATGATTTTTGGGTCTATCATGATCGGTATTCAAAATTTTATACCTCATCTTAACTTCTTTTTAAGGCGACATTTATAAGAAATACAGGGCATTCTCCCACTAATTCCAAGCTTATAATGTCTCATCTCATATTTTTTTTTTCAAAAAAAATATGTGGCGATTGTTCATGCGAGCGAACCAATCTCTAACTTGATAACCTTTTTTTTTTTTTTTTTTTTTTCATATTTGTGTAAGTGTATATTAAAAAAAAACAACCAATGTATAACATGCTTTAATATCATAAGGTATATGTAAAACATAAATACAATGTCAAATAGCAAAGCTTACAAGTACATCTTCTAGATCCTACGCAAACCTAGAGCTCGAACATGAGCGTTAAAAACGTCTCTAGGAATAGGTTTAGTAAATGGATCAGCTACCATCTTATGCGTAGAGATGTACTTTAGTATCACTTCTTTCTTTGCTACAATGTCTCTTACGAAACTATGCTTGATCTCAATGTGTTTGGTCCTTCCATGATACTTTGGATCTTTCATATAAGCAATACAAGCTTGGTTGTCACAATGAATCATAACAGGGTGCGAAGGATTAGGTGTGACGTTCAAGCTTTGTATAAAACTCCTTAGCCATACGGCCTCTTGGACAGAGGCAGAACACGCCATGAACTCAGCCTCCATAGTAGACAAGGCTGTACAAGATTGTTTCTTACTGCTCCAAGTAATGGCTCCATCACTTAGTAAGAAAGTATATCCTGAAGTTGATCTACGCTCATCAAGGTCGCCAGCCCAATCAGCATCTGAGTATCCCGTCAAATGTAGGTTACTTCCTTGATAACACAAGGAATAATCCATTGTTCCTTTCAAGTATCTTAGGATCCTTTTTACCGCCATCCAATGTTTCTTTCCGGGGTTTGACTGGTAACGACTTACCAAGCCAACAGCATAACAAATATCCGGTCGAGTACACATCATTGCATACATCAAGCTGCCCACGGCACTAGCGTATGGGACTTTTTCCATCTCTCTTTTCTCATCTGGAGTCTTGGGACACATATTAAGGCTTAGACCTTCGCCTTTTGCGATTGGAGTATCGATAGGATTACACGTGTGCATTTTAAATCTTTCAAGGATTTTACGAATATATGACTCTTGTGAAAGAGCTAATAATTTCCTTGAACGATCACGGTGTATTTTAACACCGAGCACGTAATCGGCTTCTCCTATGTCTTTCATCTCAAAATTAGATGATAACCATTCTTTAATGGTTGTGAGGAACTCCATATCGTTTCCGGCCAAAAGGATATCATCTACATATAGAGATAAAATAACAAAAGATTGTCCAGTACTCTTGACATAGACACAGTGATCTTCATTAATCATCGTAAAATCATAAGATATCATAGCTCGATGAAAACGAAAATACCACTGCCTAGAAGATTGTTTTAGGCCATAAATAGAACGTTTGAGCTTGCAAACTTTATTTTCTTGGCCTTTTACAATGAAACCAATTGGTTGTTCCATGTAAATTTCTTCTTCTAGTTCGCCGTTAAGAAATGCAGTCTTAACGTCCATCTGATGTAATTCTAAATCCAATCCCGCAACAATGGATAGAATAAGTCGAATAGAGGCAAACCTCACCACTGGTGAAAATGTTTCCTCATAGTCTATACCTTCTTGTTGGGTGTATCCTTTCGCCACCAAGCGTGCCTTATATCTATCTATGGATCCATCCGCCTTATATTTGATCTTAAAAACCCATTTGTTTCCGATCGCTCGTCGGTCTGGCGGAAGATCAACCAAATCCCAAACATGGTTCACTTTCATAGATTCTAGTTCTTCTCCAATTGCACCGTTCCATTTTTCTGAGTTTGGGCAAGAGAGAGCCTCATGAACAGATTTAGGCTCTAAGTCATCATGCAATGCCACCATGAAAGCTTCCCCTTCGATTTCAAAACGACGTCGAGGGATCTTTCCACGGTTACTTTTACGCATTTCAAACTCTTGTGATTTCATCATAGAAGAATTATCAACCAATGTATTTCTCCCACTAAGTTGAGGCAATTCATCTGAATTTGCATCGACTTCCTTAGGT